GGTGTTCGGATAATTGTAGTTCTACTGTATCAGGGTTGTCCAATCTACTTGAACCTAACGTTAATGTACTTAAACCAATAATAAATTGAAGTAGTTTTTTCTAAAACCATTGGACAATCTTTATTTCTATCATATATACATGGTCGCTCATAGGTAATGTCGATTCATATGTAAAAATTTCAACGCATCCATTTAAATATGTTGGAACTTCTTAAATTTATCTCTAGTTCTACAAACAGTACAGTAAATTTACTTTCTTTGAATAATTTTCTGTTTGTTTGTTGATGAAGGACTAGGTTTTGATAAAATACTGGACAGATGATGTGAACGTATGAGGTTTTGTTAAAGAAATATTCATGTTACCGACACCGTTTTTTTTTTTTTCAAGACAATTCAAAACCATAAATGACGAAAGTAACGCAGAATACGATCAAAGAACTTGGTGATACTAAATTTCTACCACATCCGAAATTCAGTTCAGACTTTACACTTGAGATCTATGGCGAGATTCTTTTGTACAAAATAATTTGAATCCAACAAATGTTATTAAAGCAGTGCGACATTTTTTTTGCATTTAAGGTCAAAAAAAACTGTTTTAACCTAAGAGCTTACTGCTCTTTGGGATAAAAACCATTAAATACGAGGAGCTATACATCTCATAGTAAGTCTATTTTATTACATTATATATTAAAAGACTTCCGGTTTGACCGTCTAACTGTGCAAACGTCACGAAGTGTTATCCACAAAGAAAAATCATAAAAGTGTTAAAATACATACTAAAACTATAAACTGTGCAAGTGAAACGAACATTAAAGACTAAATCTATGAAAATAGTAACACGTACTGTATGTGTTTTCAGTGCGTATGAATTTAAGTGCAAGTTTTGGTGAGATTATTATAACCTACAAACAACTTTGACATTTATGCGTCAAGGCTACCAACAACAACAATACAATAGCACGTTCCGTTTCAAGCACGTTCATTTATAAAAATATAATACTTTTTTCAGAAGCAGATATATTAAAAAAAAACATAACAACCTAGTGTTGTCAAATTTAATTAAGTAGTTCTTTTATAAAATATGACAGTGGTAAGCTGATATATATACTATTACAATAAAACAAAACAAAATAAAAAGAAAACATTGTTGTCTGCACTCTGAGTGTTTTGCATTAAATTAAACCAGTGTTGCTAATACTAAAAACTATAATTACCCGAGATGGACGGCCAAATGCAACTATTATTTTCAAATTTAAAATTAGAAATGGAAAAAAACAAACAAAAATTTTAAAACATTCTATCAGAGAAGAAATAGATGAAAAATTGAAACCTTTAGTGGAAGAAAATCTGTATCTAAAAAATGAAGTCGAGAAATTAAATGAGAAGTTAAAACATCTGGAATTAGAGAAAAGGGAGAATAATTTGATTTTCTACGGATTCGACGAGACCGAAAAATATAAAAGTGGTGTAATTGAAATGATAATAAAAACCGTTAATGATTTGGGCATTGAAATAAACAAGCGAGATATTAACAAAGTGTTTAGAATTGGAAAAGCAAATGACAAAGGGAAAGCACGGCCGATTTTAGTTAACTTTTTGAACGTATGGAAGAGAAACGAAATTTTTAAAAACAAAAGTAGACTACCCAAAAATATATTTGTCAATGAAGATTTTAGTAAAGAAGTTTTGGATAAGCGAAGAGAACTTATACCACAGCTAAAAGAAGAAAGAAAAAAGGGACTTATAGCATATATAAAATACGATAAGCTTGTTGTAAAAGGTAAAAATGGTGATGTTCGGGATAAACGGAAGAGAGAACAATCAAACTCTCCAAACAAAGGTCACGAAAATGGTCGACCAAAAATTAATAAAATAAATGCCTTCGAAAAAATGTACAGGAACAGATCCCATTCAACATCAGAAATAAATAAAGAATAGCCATTAACTGACATCGGTTGCCGGAAGACCAAAGCAAATAAAGAAAAACAACTTAAAGAAAAAACAAAAAATATTAAACCTCCCCCAAGCCGACTGGTCCTCGTGGGGGAAAACGACCACAACCCTCCAAGACTGGAAAATAGTAACCACCAAAAATCAGTAATATATATCGCATCCCTCAATGTACTTACCCTGAGAAACGAAGAAAACCTAACGGAACTAACGTACGCATTAGAACAAATCAAATGGGACATCCTAGGCATGAGCGAAGTTAGAAGAATGGGTGAAAGTATCACTTCTCATCCTGACTATCTACTATACCAAATAGGGGAGACACCGGGCCAATATGGAGTAGGATTTATTATCAAGGAACACATTACGAAATATGTAGAAGAGTTCATTGGAATCTCCGAGCGCATAGCTATCATGAACGTGAAACTACCAGGATACAAGAACTCATGGTCTATTGTACAAATTTATTCACCTACAGAGCAATCAAATTTAGAAACCATTAATACCTTCTACCATAATCTAAATGAAGCGATTCAAAAACACACTCATAAAAATTTGATAGTAATGGGAGACTTCAATGGGCAAATTGGAGCCAGACGCTCAGGAGAAAATGCAATACTAGGACCATTCACGTACAGTAACAAGACCAGAAGTAGGAATGGTGAAAAAATCATAAACTTTGCGTTACAAAACAATTTAACAGTCCTAAGTACAAAATACAAGAAAAAACGGAAAAATAGGTGGACCTGGATCTCGCCTGATAACCGAACAAAAAATGAAATTGACTTCATTATGACTAACAGAACTAATTACTTTACCAACTTCAGCGTCATTAAAAGATTCAATTTTAACACCAATCATAGGCTAATAAGAGCGGAACTAAAAACAAAGCAACCAAAGAAGCCAAGACCAAGAAAATATTTAGGCGATACAAAACTCAGCAAACAGCAGACAGAACAATTAACAACAACCCTGAAAGACAAATTAGTAGACTTTAAAGATAATACAAAGGAACTGGGTATCCAGGAAAAATACAACTACTTAGAGCAAACAATCAAAACCCAGACAAAACTAATTGCCAACAACAAAACCGATACAAAAAAAGAACTATCAATAACTACTATAAAACTCCTAGAAGAACGGAAGAACCTTCTCAGTGCAAGAATCACGCAAGATAGAAGAAAGAAACTAGCCAACATAAGCAAAGAAATTAAAGAAAGCATGAGAAAAGATAGAAAAACCAGGAGAATGGAAATCCTAGAAAAATACATAGTACGAACAGGCGGAACCAAAAAAGCGTTTAAGGAACTAACACACACGAAGGACTGGATAGTAAAAATGAAGGATGACCGAGGAAAGTGGAAACACCATAGAACTGACATACTAGAAACAGCTACATCGTACTACAGGAAACTCTACAGAAGCAGTACTACGCAAGGTGGAGTCGAATTAGCAGAAACCACGATCATTCCTCCCATTCTCGAAGTTGAAGTCAAAAAAGCTATTGATACCCAAAAGAATGACAAGGCACCCGGACCTGATGGCATAAGTAATGAAATTCTAAGACACAGCCAGGAGATTCTGACACCTATCCTCACAGTTATGTTCAATGATATTATAGACACCGAAATTATTCCTCAGCAATGGACTGAGTCTAACATCATTCTACTGTACAAGAAAGGGGACAAATATAACATCGGCAACTACCGCCCCATTAGTCTCATGTCTAACATATATAAGATTTTTGCTAAGATCATCTTAAAAAGAATTGAGAAATCTCTAGACGAACAACAACCGATCGAGCAAGCAGGATTCCGTAAAAACTATTCAGTTATCGACCACATACACGTAGTACGTCAAGTTATAGAGAAATATAATGAATACCAGCTAACATACTACATCGCATTTATTGACTACAGTAAAGCATTCGATTCTCTAACACACGAAAAAATATGGGAGGCACTACTAGAACAAGGAATTGAACACAAATATATTCGACTTATAAAAAATATATACAGTCGCAGTACAGCAAGAATCCAGTTGGAAAAGAAAAGCAATTCTTTCAAAGTAGAAAAAGGCGTAAGACAAGGAGATCCACTGTCTCCGAAGCTATTCTCCGCAGTGCTTGAGTCCATCTTCAGAAGACTAAATTGGGAACATTTCGGGTTAAATATAGATGGTGAATTGATGTCACATTTGAGATTCGCTGATGACGTAGTGCTACTGGCAAAAACATCAGAAGACTTGAGTAAAATGATAAAAGAACTTGCATCAGAAAGCGAAAAAGTAGGATTGACACTGAATCCAGAAAAAACCAGAGTGATGACAAATGGAACAAGACATATCATAGAATTAGGAAACACCGAAATTGACTATGCTGATGAATACATTTATCTGGGACAGCTAATATCTCAAAAAGACCCCATGCAAAAAGAAGTGGAGAGAAGAATCACAAACGGCTGGAAGAGATACTGGAGCTTGAGAGAGGCTATGAAAGATAAAACACTTCATATAAACATTAAAAGTAAATTGTTTAACACCTGCGTGCTACCCGTTCTTACGTACGGCTGCCAAACATGGACTCTAAACCAGGAAATATTGCACAAACTGGCAACGTGCCAGTATGCAATGGAAAGGAGTATGCTAAACGTTAAAAAGTCTGACAGATTGAAGAACTGCGTTATTCGAAGCAAAACAAAAGCTTCAGACGTAACTGTCAAAGTCAAAAGACTCAAGTGGAGATGGGCTGGACACGTGATGCGAGGACACGACAAGTGGAGCAAAAAAGTGACACGGTGGTACCCTAGAGAAGGCAAAAGGAAGAGAGGCAGACCACAGAAAAGGTGGGATGACGATATCAGACAAGTGGCAGGAGTAATGTGGAACAGAGTGGCTCAAGAGAGAACAGAATGGAAAAGGTTGGAGGAGGCCTTTGCCGACTGGCAAACTGATCTAGCGATGATAACCAAGGAACAGATATTAGTTTAAGTAGCTTAAGTTTAAGATATTATTTTTATTTTTTAAGATAGTTTATTGTTAACACTTATTTGTTAGATCTGAATAAAGGCTATAATAAATAATAAATATATTAAAAAGTGAACACTGAAAATCGACATTATTTATGAGACATCCACTGTACTTATATCCTCTGTACTTGAATACAAATTCACATAAAACAAATATCGTGAAAAACTTACTAAAAATTAGTAGGGCTTTTTCAATGTGTTTGGCAACGAAGCCTTAACAAACTTCTGTTTATATTTAATCTAACTGTAATGCCATACATATTAACCTCAACATCGTATCCTGTTAGCGCCTGTTCAGCCAGTTGACACCACAACGACCCCACGTCCGCAGACCTCGACACAGCGTCCAAGTATTGAGCACAATCCTTTAAGTCCCCGCTACGTAACGCGGAATCTATACAAAATAAATAGTAATTTCCATTTAATATTCCATATAAATTAACAATATAGCGATTGATGAAAATAAATTCAAATAGCGCTTAGAACATTAAATCAATCCTGTTATAATAAAATCGTTCATTTATTGTCTTATACCAAAAAAAACATGGCTTAAAAGTACTCTGTATTATTCTATAAGTTACTTCAGCAACATACTGAATCTTGTTGTGTGGATAGTGTGCACCAGATTAACATTACCCTACCATAACCTTTAAATTTAAACGTCGTCTATATAAAAATTTCATAGTAATCACTTCAAACAATAAAAAATAAATGAAAAGAATGTTTCGGTTACATTACAGCAACCATGATCACGGGCAGACTGGATGTGTTTCATTTAAATGAATACTCGAGGAATTCTTAGTTCTCATTAATCCTACTAATATTATAATTGCGAAAGTTTGTGAGTGTTTGTGTATGTTTGTTACTTTTTCACGCTCAAACGGTTGAACCGATTTTGATAAAATTTTGTATACAGGAAGCTGACGTCCAGGAATAACACATAGGCTACTTTAAACCTCGGAAATCCCAAAAATCCGGGCGCAGCTAGAATAAAAATAATGTCAATACTGTAAAGGGTTCATACTGAAAGCCAGTCGATGTTCATCCAATACAATGGCCTGGATCTGACCTCCTTCCAGTAGGACTCGTCGCTCTGATACTGATACAGCCGAGACTGATACACACTCAGACATGTCAACACACTGAGGCTCCCACACACTGTACCTGTAACACATACAACACACACATATATATGTAGGAACGACCTTATGATCCATGTATATCTTACTGTATGTAACATATAGACATAATGAGTTAAAACTAGGATTAATTTACAGGAATATTTTGATATGTTCTCTCCCAAAATAAGAAATCAATATGGATAATTTAACCCATTGCCAACGATACACTATTTTTAAGTTAGAAGATTTACTATATATATTCAAATAAATTTTGTACACATAATAAGTTACTTTTATCCAGTACAATTAAAAAATATATTATTAAATCTAACCAAATCAGCAAATGTGTTGGGGTTTGGGCTACAACAGCGTCACTAGTTTCTATCCATTGCACGAAACTAACTCCGCTACCGATAATTTCCTAAAAAAATGAAATACCAGACAATGAAATATCATATTTATTTGACTCAATTTATTCAGCTATGTCGTTTGCGCTATATATATGAGTGCTACCTTTTCCCCGGTATCAATACGGAGAAGTGCAAGTCGTCGTCTAGTATGACGGAACAGAAGCAGATGTCCGCTCTCATTCAGCTCCAACCAATCCACCCGAGCTTCGTGCCACCATGGCCCTAACTGAACTCCTACAACATTCACATCATTGATATTAATAAATATAATGCAACGACATCAATCTTTTTTTTCATAACAAAGGAACTCTAACATCTATCCTACGTATGTTCCGTACCTGTAACAAGATCAATAACAGCAATCGTCTGTCTGTCAGCAGATAGGCGAAGTGTTTTCGTTCTTCCTCCGTCTTCCTGCCCTCATTGATACGGACACTGAGCACGTGAGGATTGACACGCTCAGTACGAACCTCCATAAGATACGAAACTCACAGTTTGTAGTACTCTATCGAGGCCGTACTCCACCACACTAAGTTCGCCAGCACGCTGCAACAGACAGGCTCCACCCACAGCTGCATATATACGCTCCCCTCCACCGGACCATGGTATCTGGAGTATTCATGACTATAAACTTTTAACTAACCTTAACTTTTTGTTAAAATATCTGCTGGCATTTTAGCAGTTTATAAATAATCAATTTTAACAAACTTATCTCCTACTGCCTGTCTCACAAAATGGTATCTAACATCTATATGTATAGATCTCCTGTGGTATACTGGATTCAAAACAAGTTTTTATACACTTTGATAATCATTATACAAAATCATTGTTTCTGAATTAACTCCAATTTCAAAAATAAATAGCCTCCTTACTGGCTTCTCACATGGAAATATACTGTGCTTCTGTTGAAGACAAAGCTATATTTCTGTTTTATACATTCAAAAGAAATTACTAAACCAGGCAACTTAAAACAAAATCTAGAAAAAGTTTTTTTATTATTTGAACCTGAACCCCAACCTGGATCAACATATCCTTGTCTATAAGAATTATCCTTTCGTAAAACAAGGCCAAAGATTTTGGTAACTTTTAAGTTATTTAAAATTCGTTTTAAATGTTTCCAATGAGTTTCATCATATGAGTTCTTAAACTGACTCAAATAACATACACTGTAAGCTAAGTGTGGTCTGGTCAAGACAGATAAATACATAAAATTCCCTACCAGTTGTCTATATGGAATTTTCTAATCACAAAAACTGTTCTTAGATTTTTCTAGCCTTACATTAACCTCCATAGGAGTTTCCAGTTTTACAATGTAACATATTAAATCATTTCAGAAAGCTTTCTACATATTGTTCTTGATCAACAGTTATAACATTTTCATACATATTTACTCTTAAGCCTAAACAATGCTTTATTTGATCTAGATCTTTTATTTAAAATTTACTGCTTAAATCTTGTATTAACTGATTAGTTGTCATTTTACAATTAGAGAATACAAAAAAGTCATCAACAAACAAATCTATTATCACTTTAACATTTCTTTCAAACTTTATAAATAAACAAGGATCATACTTAGATTTTAAATGACCTAAAGATTTTAACTGATCATTGCCTCTCCCATACCATTGAGGACTGCTCAAGATTGAGCATGTGAGGACTGCTCAAGTCCATAGATGGCATGTTTATTATTATCATCCTCATACAATACAGGTTTTTCAATATACACAGAATCATTCAAAAATATCATAGGTGGTAGAGCCTAGCTGTGGTCAAGTGATTGCAGCTCGAACATGGGCTGGCTCGACCGGGGAAGTACCACCCTCTCACAGAAGATCAGTGTGAAGTAGTCTTTAATGGCTGCGTTTCTTCCGATGAGTAGGAGTGCCGTTTGTCCTTTTCCTTCTCCCATCCTTTCCTCCCCTTCCCATTTTTCCTCCCCCTCTTCCCTAATCAAGGGTGGTGACACATCCACAACATGTCTTATGTATAGTGTAGGCCGTCTGCTCGGTTGCCCCCTTTAACATAAAAAAAAACATTCAGGAAAGCTGATGTTGTTGGTGTATATTTAAAACTAATTTTACAGTTAAAGAAAATAACAATCTTAGAGTAGAATAATGTAGCACAGGGGAAAGTCTCATGATAGTGTATGCCAGCTTTCTGTGAAAAACATATTGCCATTAATCTTGAATGATAATGCACCTTACCAACACTATCATACTTTGTTTTTAAACACCCATTTGTACTGAGCCACCATAGTATCACAAGAGTTATCCACAAGTTCTCATTCATCATTTATCTTAAACAATTCTTATTCTTCCTCCATACTTGCTCTCCAAATTACTCTCAGTCCCATTTAAAGCTCCCTCATGTGTAATATTCATTTTAATCTGATCATCTGATCATTGAAGAAGCTTCTGGAATATATGTGACATAAATTATATCACATTCAGTATGTGTGCTATCTGCATTACCTTTTCTTCTTTTTCACTCTGTTCCTACGCTTAAACCTTACTCACTCAATAGGAATATTAACTGTATTTTAGGTTGGTTACATTATAATGATGTCTCCACTAGTTTTAACTGAGTTATTTTTACAGGATTATAAACCCTATAGCCTTTCAAAATAAGTTCTTTATGTTTCATATCCAATTTCTAACGATTTTCTTTACACCTGACAACTTGCATTATGCATTTTGTGTATTATTAAATAAATAATGTTACCAAATTCGGTAAGTAAAGTAGAAAACTCGAAAAATTCGAAAATTTGCTAACGGTCGGTAACTATTAAGCCAAAGAGTGAGACTATATTAGAAAACATGAAGTTGACCACCCTTATATGGTTACGAATTGAATATAGCAAATAAAACTTACCAAATGCGTGTACTATTAATAAAACAAATTCTGTACCTGTTCGACTCATGCCTTAATTTGAATTGCTTGTTTGTTTTGTTTTAGGTAGCGTTAAATTTCTAATGCATTGATACGTGGTAGGGTGGCCTGAAAAAGAATTTGTCCTACTTCTCGATCGTAATACAAACTTATATTCTTACATCGAGTTCTGTTCCAAAAACAAACGGTCCTTGTCTTGTCGACGCGACTTGTTGCGAGACTAATGTTAATTATCAGTCATCTGCTTACTCAATCAACCAGTCACCTATAACACACGCAAGTAATAGTTAAAATAGATTTTAAAACATAATTGGTGTTTTATTTTATTTATAACTCTTTATGTAATCAAAAACGTATTACATAAATGTAACTGTGAACGTGAATAGTATCCCATTTCTGATTTTAGTATTCTAAAAAAAATACTCACAAAAATATAGTTTTCTTATAAAGCCAGTACTTTTAAATAACAAATAAAACCTTAACTAGAACAAACTAATAATATTCCTAACTCAATACACCTTAAATAAGTTAAATTCAATTCACAAAAATAAAAGTCGCGTTCACAAAGTACTTTCCCGCGTAAAATTAACAAACAAAGCGTCATCAGTGATCAGTGTTACCAGAATATTTTTTTCTCGAATCGCCCCGCTGGAGCTCGCGTGTAACCCCGAGATAGCCCCATCACGGAGCGCAGGTAGTTAGGCGGGAAAGTTGAAATAAATTCATGTGCTTATTATTGGTTATATGTTAATTAAATTCGTTCTATTATTTTACAATAATAAATAATGTTTTAAATAAAATCCAATTATAATGGTCAAGATTTTTTTATTTTTATTGATTCCACTTTGTTTTTAAAATAATTTACCTGTTTTCTGTTTTTTACTAGTTAAACTTGTTGCGTTGTGTTGATGAGTTTTTCTGCTGCAATGAACTTTTAAATCATGCTTATGAGCACGTGAATTCACCCGGCGCCATTTACAATATGCCTCTCCTTGACCTGCTAATATCAATCGGCTACCTGATTTCAGCGGATAAAATAATATCGCCACTCGGTAAGGGAGATAGCCCCATTGGAACTATATAGCCTCATCTAGCAATACTGAGTGTCAGCGCTTCAATATCACTTCGGATGCGTTGAGAATTTAAAAGTTCGGTTTAATTTAAAAGTGTGTTTCCTAAATATATTATATAAGTTTTCCATCAACAATATAAAAACAAAACATTAGCGTTTAGACAAAACAGCCGATGTCGTCTATACAACACTCATTTGATCTGTCAAATAAATATCAATAATTTTGTCGATTGTCTTTCAATGACCTTACTTTAAATTATTTACTGTTTCGGTTCTATTGGTAGTTATGATAAATTTTTGGATTAGTAATTTTTTTGTTGAAGAAAAAATAGAAAATCTTAATTTGTTCATGTTACACTACTATCATATTCAGTTGGTGTTTTTCTGTGGCTCCTGAGTTGTGTCACCACGTCGTCAGTCGTGGTCAAAATGAATGAAATCCATTGCCTCGGTCTCAGGTCAACTCATTTATGAATTTCGTCAATTGAAGTTTGCTTTTGATACACAGAACCAGGACCTTCTGGACCCAGGAACATATGATGTTAGAATTTGTCCTGTAATGTTACTGTATATTTTAATATTCGCTAAGACAATAGTATATTCAATATTTCATTTTAGTCACGTGCTTTCAAATATCAGATGATACTCTCAAAACCACAGGGATTGCGTTTCTAGCCTCTTTTGGAGAATCCGTCCCAAACCTTACGCTTTTTTCTTCAATTCCTACTAAATATATATATTTTTTAGATCGAAATCCCTGAAGTAGTTAAATTTCAGTTATGTTCGACTAAATTAACTCAATTTAAGAAAATTTTAAGTTTCGTAAATACAGTTCTTCTATATATTTTTCCAAGGTATTTATTACTATAGATTCTTGTTCTCGATCTATTTCAATCAAATCTTACAACACCAGGGGTCATTTAATGCTAATTTTAAACTTAAAATAATACTCATCTATATTTTAAATAAGCTTTTACCTGGTACGTATTGAACTATATATTATTGAAATATATACGTATTGGACTATATATTGCTTAATTCGTCGTTAATTTGAGTAGATTGATTAATGCGGAAATTCTCGGATATTTAGGATAAAAGTAAAAGAATCGTTTAAACTTTTGTTTTTATTTATATTTAGATATAATTTTCTTCGAATATATCGACAACACGTCGTTTTGCCTTTTTCTTAAATACAGGCAGTCCTCGTACTTACGGCATGTTAGGTTCTTGAAATACGCGACGTAAATCGAAACGACGTAAGTCGAGACATATTTTTTCATATGTTTACATGTAAAACACAAGGGTTAGGTTCCACACGGACTCGAAATAATAAAAAAAACTGCATTTATAACAAAGGACGTACTTTATTATTAAAAGTAAGTTCTTAAAATAATTATATATTATGCACTTATGAAATTGCTAGTTATTTTTGGTATTTTTGTGTTATTAATTTTAATAATAATTATAAAACTTATACATATGTAATGATAAATAATAAATTAAACTTTTGGCTTAAAGAAACTATCAATTCTAGATTGCTTGGCTTCTTTCTTCTTGCTATCATACAGATCTTGGTAACAGTGTTAGGCTGCACAAATTTTGTTATTAACGTTAAAACTTCTCTCAAAATTAGGATCATTTTCTTCAAAAATTTTCATGGCATTCTTCAAATTTGCAAAGGCTACGGAAAGTTTTTTTAGTGTAAGTTCTTTTTCAGAGTCACTAATAGAAGAAGCTATTTCTTGTGACTCGAGTGCTTCCTTTTGTACTTGTGCCTCCAATTCAATAAGATCTTCATCAGTCAGTTCTTGCGAATGTGAGCTTAACAGATCATCAATATCATCAGTAGTAACTGCAATGTCAGGCAAACGGTTAGCGCCCCTCACGGACATTGACCTTGCGACAAGTGAATTCTCCGATATGACGGAAATCGAAACAAATGACGTATGCTTGAGGAATAGTGTCAAAACATTGTTCGACGTAACTTGAAACGACGTAAATCGAAACGACGTAAGTCGAGGACCGCCTGTATTCGTATAATGTATCTATAATGTCATGTTAAACGACATATAACTAGTATATAAACAGCATAAGATGAAACAACTAGCTATGACTAACCACCTAATTTTTTTTTTTATGGAAAAGGGGGCAACCGAGTAGACGGCCTACCTGATGGAGGTAGTACCGTCGCCCATGGACATCCGCTACATAAGACATGTTGCGGATGTGTCACCACCCTTGATTTGGGAAGAAGGGGAGGAAAAATGGGAAGGGGAGGAAAAAGGGAAGGGGAGGAAAAAGGGAAGGGGTAGGAAAGGATGGGAAAAGGGAAAGGGCAACCGGCTCTCTCACTCATCGAACGAAACGCAGCCATTAAAGGATACTTCACGCCGATCTTCTTTGAGAGGGTGGTACTTCCCCGGTCGATTCAGCCCACGTTCGAGCTGCAATCACTTGACCACAGCTAGGCTCTACCACCTAAAAATTAGAAATTTAAAATAACGCAGGATAAAAGCTAAAACAAAATAAAATACATAGTTTCTTCAAAACTTCATTGACATAAGTTAACTCCGTCTCTTTGTGCCTTTTATATCATAATATTGTCGCACAAAAACTAAATACAGATAGATTGGGAGTAGATTCTTTTTACTTTTTCCTTAATATGAACTGTGTCACCTTCGTCAATAAAGTGTTGATAAATATCGGGACATTGTTTAAAACTCGTTACATTGTTACCCAGCTTTTGAGAGCTTACTTTTTTAAACTATTACTTTATTGGTTGTAATTTTCTATATACTCGATAAAGTAAGGAACATGTGCCGTTTTCGATTAAGTTAAGTAAAAGTATGCATCATGGGGATGAAAAACTGTCATATAATAACTTTGACACTATTTTCCTTTATAACTTTATAGATGGCGTAAGTAGCTCTGAAATTGGTTTGACAATTGACATTAGGACAATTTTTAAATTATTTCAGACTGAAATAATTTAAAAATAAACTGAAATTTTCAGTTGCTCATTTGCCGTTGTTTACTGTGCTGTACGTTCTTTTTCAAACATTTGACCCGGCTTAATATAGGTATCATTGACTCCTATTTCCACGCTTTTGACGATCGAGTATCGACCCCGTTTTTTCTCAATTGGACTTTGTTTTCTGCGAGTACGATCGACTCCAGCTCTTCTCATTTGGATTTTGATTGCAAACCACGAATTTGGATTATCGATAAGTTGAAAAAATGCCACGAAAATCGGCTATTAAGTGTTACTTTCGGTGTGCGATTAAAGGTACGATACTTATTTAGTAAAATCTAAAAAAGTATTATTTGTCGTATATATATACAATCAATTACTACTCTTGTAACTTGTTACATCAATTTCAACCGTAACAGTTTATTGACTTCTAATAAAAACATTTCAGG